CCACACCCACCGAACTATGTCCCACCCACCCCAATTTGAACCCCTAAAAACAAGTTTGACAGTTTAAGGTACTATGGTAAACTTAGACTTATTTGTTTTATGGGTAGAGTAGTTTACTTTTCCTGTAATACTTCATTATAGTTTTTCAAGACAAAGCTAATTGAAAGGGGCGCTGAGCAGAGTTACAACCAGGGGTTACAAATAATTACTTTTTTCTTCTGCGGTTCAGCGCCCCCCTCCAGCAGATGGCGCTCAAGGCGACCGCCGAGTTCGCCTATGCCAAGAGCCGGCTCTGGTGAGGACTGAGAGCTGCAGAGTTTACGAGCTGCTACTGGAGTTTCTGTTATTTGGGGTCTCCTTGGGTGAAACTGTGTGACACAAAAACAGCAGGAGAAATAAGAGCAAACAGACTCTTTGTTTCCCACATGGACTTCAAAACAGTGTGTGCTGAGGGCTGAGCAGAACAAGGTCATCTGCTAATGAGCTCAGCAGGGCTGAAGTCTTGTCAAAATATATGCCAAATATTTTAAGAGAGCCAATTGTTCCCTTTGTTGATTTGTTTTCACATGAGTGTCATATATTTTTCTCCTGCACGATGTGTGCTTCTTGATTAAATTTGTGTTAGGACATTTTAATGTTAATAAAGGTGGAACAAAGGGTCATTTATTAAAGAGGACACAGCTTTTTGCTTTTAGCAAATTTTTGTGATAAAATATACACTACTAACTCAAAAACACCAACAAGCCAAAGCTTGTTACATCAGTAACAAAAACACAAAACTTATATTTCAGAGAATTTCTGTCTCAGCTCAGACAATGATCTGGCTCAGGGGCAAGTGGTGGCTCGGGGGCCTAATACTGCCTGTTCTGTGAGTGTTCACAGACTGCTTCCAGGTTCCCTTTTAAAGCAACAGATTTTTATTTTGAAATGAAAATCTACAGCAGGGGTGTCAAATTACTTTCACCTAGGCCCTCATGAGTGATGTGACCACAGTAACTCAAAGTCAACAGTTCAGGGACCGGACAAGTATTATTATCCTACACCTTTTAAATCTGTTTATTTTCTTGCATTAAATAACTTTAAAGTTTGCCATTGATCTAAAAACTGTTTTCATATTAAAACAGACAGAAAGCACATTGAATTGGACACATGATCTATGGAAATGTTGTGAACAAATAATATTGTAATTGTTTATCTTTTTGAACATCACTGAAGAAGGAGCTGAACTAAATAAACAAAACTAAATACTATACCGAACGGTTTTTTTTTTTTTTTGGCCTATAAATCCTGTACTGGAGTAAATACACACAGACATGAAGCACTTACTGTAACCATCTAAGGGCTGTTTTAGTGTGTGCTACAAACCAGATCACAGTCCTGGGTTATCTGACACCACGGTTTCCTTTGGTGGGACGGATGGGAGACGGCCCCGAGCTCTGCCCCTGCACACATGAAAACGCCTCACTAGCAGAGTGGCTAATACTCAGCAGGATGTTGACGTTATTCTGCCTCCGACAGGGAACCTTTCTCATCAACAACATTGCCTTAAATGCTGACATGGAAACCAGCTGCTGATGCTGAGCAGGAAGAATATCTGTAAAAGGTCCCTGGAGTCCGAGCCCGGGCCAGACTGTGATTAATGTTCAGGTCTGGAGAACAAATAGTTTAATGAATACATAGATTACGTGCTTATATTTTCAGCGAGAGCTGCCGTTTTCAGGAAGAAAAAGTCTAAAGTTTCTGTCTCATTGATAGTTTCACTAATTTCTTTGAGATTTTCAAGAATAATTTTCCTACATTGGTATGCTACAGAAACCTTTCTAAAGACCTAACCTGTCATCAGGTAGGTTTTATGTGTCCTGTAAATACTTTGTATGTTTCCTGTAAGTACTCTCTATGATACCTGTAAGTACTCTGTGTGTTACCTGTAAGTACTCTGTATGCTACCTGTAAGTACTCTGTATGTTACATGTAAGTACTCTGTATGCTACCTGTAAGTACTCTGTATGCTACCTGTAAGTACTCTGTATGTTACATGTAAGTACTCTGTATGC